CGTTTCTTAAGATGTATAAACATTTTGAAATCTTTAGAAAAATGCCAAATTAATACACAATATTTTATTAGTAACATGAATTTAGTACTCTTAAGAAAAGGTTAAAACTACTAATATACATATATGAACTAACATGTGAAAATTTTCTAGCATTTCAAAAAAGCCTCATGCATTTCAGAGGAAAAGGAAACCTATTTGAACCCTATAAGACTTCATTCCTGAAACTTCAGTATTGACAGGCAATTTATCTAGCATAAATCTGTAACTAAATGGTATAGAATGTTCTTAAGTTTCAGGATTTCCACATACTTCGCTGCTTGCCGTATCAGGATTCCCTATTAAATGAATGTTTATGTGTAAATTTAAGGAATGCAAGAGTACATGAGGCTCTCATCAACACCTTCCATAAAAGTTCTCATATTTACTGGAATATAGAAATACGTAATACAGAAATATTTTGGCCAAAATGTTTCAAATATCCAGAGATGTTTTCAGCACTAACTTCTTTTCAACCAGAATAAAATCCTTGAAATTCTGGGAAAACACAGAAATATATAATTTATTTAGTTCAACAGACATTTCTAGAGTTTTCTATGAGCCACATACTACATTAAGAGTCACTGAAATAAAGATGGCTTAAAACAGTCATTTATCTCAAGAAGCACTTGGTCTGGTTACGGAAACAGGATTACAAAGATGTCAGCAAATGAGCACCATGGAGAGTGAGGAGTTCAAGACAGAGGAACATAGAAGATGTAGAGGCAGTAAAGGGAGGTCAATACTACCATACAAAAGACGTAACACAAGAGCAGGGTTTGTTGTTTTTTTTTTTGAGACAAAGTCTCACTCTTCTGACCGGGCTAGAGTGCCATGGCGTCAGCCTAGCTCACAGCAACCTCAGACTCCTGGGCTCAAGCGATCCTCCTGCCTCAGCCTCCCGAGTAGCTGGGACTACAGGCATGCGCCACCATGCCCGGCTAATTTTTTCTATATATTTTTAGTTGTCTGATTAATTTCTTTCTATTTTTAGCAGAGATGGGGTCTCGCTCTTGCTCAGGCTGGTTTTGAACTCCTGAGCTCAAACAATCCGCCCGCCTCGGCCTCCCAGAGTGCCAGGATTACAGGCGTGAGCTACCACGCCCGGCCAAGAGCAGGGTTTTGATGTAAGGGTTACAGACATACATACAATAGCATGATGTATTCATCAAAGGTAAGCAATTTTAATTGGATAGTGTAAAATGCAAGGAAGGCAGTATTGAAAAGGAGAATAAAAATATAAGTGGGTGAAGAAATACCATGAAGGGCCTCAAGTGCAATACAAGGAAGTTTTAATTGTCCTCTGTACGTGATGAGGAGCCATGTTAGTCAGGGAAGCAACATGGTTATGTTGAACTGCCAGGTGTCTAAGTGATCACTCAGGAGAACGGCCAGACTGAAAGTAACAATCCCCACAGCACAGCACTGGGTGAGGTCAAATGACACGCAGGGCAGGTAGGGAAATCACCTCACTGCTGAGAAGCACCGGACAAAAGGCTCCTGAGGGACCAGTGGGAAGGAAAGAGGGAAGGGTTAGGAGTCGGAAGTGCTGTGTGAGAGTACGTGGGGCGCAAAGGAGGCAGGGTGTGCTCTGAGTCCCTGCAACCCTCTGCAGAATGCAACGGCACACTGGCTGGGCACCAAGGCTAGTGTCGGGAAGGCAGCTCTCCACCCCACCCTGTGAAGCCTGCCAGGCAGAGCCCTGTAACTGCCTGTCATCAGCATGAAGGGTCACACACAGCACACAGGATTTAGGCCTGGAGCTGGACTCCTCAGGTTCTTTTGTGATCTATAAAAATCGTTCATCAACGAAGTGGAAGAAACCCAATGGAGAGGATCTCGGTGATGAAGGGGAAAAGCTGGGAAGCTAACGTCATGAGCCAGGTGACACAGGTGGATCTGAGCTCCTGGAAAAATAACTGAACCTAGTCCACACAGGAAAGGAAAGAATCCATGAAGGATGATAAACTGGAAGAAACCGGGAGAGTCAAGGGAATAAAAGATCAGTCTAGGCAGTAGTGGGGGAAAGAGCTAGAAGGCAGGAAGTAGAGTTAGGGAGTGGGGAACGAGAGCCCACAAGTTCCAAGGTTATCACGAAGACAAGGCACGTTCAGGTAAGATGACTGGAGAGAAGGCAAGGATTACAAAGCTATGGTTTCTTCATCTATGAAATCGCTTGAGATGACGGCAGATGTCAGTGACAATGGTTTAAGAATGATGGAAGTGATGGTGCAAGCTTCAGAGGAAGAAGGGAGTTTGTATAAGTACACAGGCTGACTACTGAGAGGCAGGAGAGGAGAGAGAGATGTTACCAGCTCCACCTCAGTCCAGAGATAGGAAGATATGGGGAGAGGGCAGTTTCCCATTAGAGGAAAGCAAGAGAAAGCACTACTCTTGTGGGGAGGAGGTGTTCTAAGAAGAGCCTGAGAAGAGATCCCAGAGTCGCCAGCTTGCACATGGCCTATTGTGGGGAGCTCATTTTCTAAATGGAGCGTAGTATCTAGAGAGAAGACTGGGAAAGGCTGAGAGGGAGATCACAGAGCACAAATAGGGGACGAGAAAACAGGATGGAATTAGCACCTGGAAAGACCTGACCTCGGGGTGGTGACAGGGTGAAAGATGTGGTGAGAACCCTGACTGGCTGTGAGGGCCCCGCCCACAGTTGGCCTGGCCAGTTTCTGCAGGTATTGCCACATGGCAATTTTTTTTTTTTTTGAGACAAAGTCTCATGCTGTTGCTGGGGGCTAGTGTGCCATGGCGTCAGCCTAGCTCACAGCAACCTCAAACTCCTGGGCTCAAGCGATCCTCCTACCTCAGCCTCCCAACTACCTGGGAATACAGGCATGCGCCACCACGTCCAGCTAATTTTTCTATTTTTAATAGAGACAGGATCTCACTCCTGCTCAGGCTGGTCTAGAACTCCTGACCTCAGGCAATCCTCCCCTTTTGGCCTCCCAGAGTGTTAGGATTACAGGCGTGAGCCACCGCACCCAGCCTTCCACACGGCAATTTTATTCCACCTGTGAGTTTTTTATTTAAATAAACTTTGATAATGTTTAAACCTCTTTTTGAAAATGGTATATATATCTGGCAAAGTTTTAGTCAAGAGTAAAAAAATTTTTTTAATGTTCACTGGAGGACAGTAGTAAAGATACTTTGTTAATGTTGTTCTTTAAGCTCAGAAATAGTTTCTAACAATGTCAGTGTTGGAAGGATTTTAAGAGCTCATTTAATTTACTAACCCCACAGGATTGTACTTACAACCTAAAAATAATGCTCTGTTAAGACTGGCAATCTCAATCTTAACAAGCTGGGGAAGGTAATGACAACCTTAAGTAATCTTTTCCACTGTTTGATAAACCTTAGTTGAGATGTGCTTTTGGATGTTCACTTTGAAGCTTTTCCTCAGATCCTATTGCCTCTGGCTCTGTCCAAAAAAAACAGGTAGTCCATGATATGTAGATGAATAGACACTATTCTTCAAATATAGTTCACTCTTTTCCAACCTGTTTCCTCTTGGATCCAATTTTGTAAGATGTTTTTCCAAAAAAGGGCACAGCTTTTCGCTGCCCTATCATAAAATGACAGACTACAAGCAGTACCCTGGCTAGAGCATAGAAGAACGCTTAGAGCTCTCACGTACAACGGATTACTGCAGGGTGATCTGGCTGAGACATCCATCCCCTACTTATTACCAAGGCTAATTCAGTCTTTTTTGGCAGCAAGGTAGTTTTTCCTTCCTTGCTTACACATCCAGTATGTGTTTGTCCCCAGACTGTGGGTCACGGAAAGTTTTAGCCTACTGCTTCAGATAAACTCTGTACTTCAGTCATAAAAGAAATGATAGTGTGATGGTTAATTTTAGGTGTCAACTTGACTGGATTAAAAAATACACAGAGAACTGGTAAAAGCATTATTTTGGGGTATATCTGTTAGAGTGTTTCCCAAGGAGATTGGCTTGTGAGTCTGAGTGGACTAAGTGGGGATGATCCACCCTCAGTGTGAGTGGGCCAGTCAGATGGGGGCCGAGAGAGAATAAAAACAGGAAAGGCAAACTGGTCTCTCTCTCTCTCCTGCAGCTGGGATACACTCCTGTCCTGCCCTTGGACATCAGAACTCAGGCTGTCCAGCCTTTGGACTCCGGGACTTAGTTGGCCTGAGCCACACTACAGGTACTCCAGGGCCTCCAGCTTACACACGGCCTGTCACGGGACTTCTCAGTCTCCATAATCACATGAGCCAATTGCCCTAAAAAATCCCCTCTCATATATTTATATATATCCTATTGGTTCTGTCTCCCTGGAGAACCCTGACTAATGAGATACCCCTTACCTATCACGCACTGAGCTCTCGCTCTGTGCTAGATGTTGTGCTGCTTTGTAAAAGAACTGAATCTTCACAACCATTTATGTAATATAAAAAATACAGTGACTCATCTTTTAAATAAACTAGAACGATTTTCTTTGGACTTGACACATTTTTAACTCATAGGCACTGATTTATTTAACAATAACTAAAACTTTAGATTATCTGAACATTAATTCCAACCTCCCCCGTTAAATCTTTAATCAAATCTATGCTAAAATAGTTAAGTGATCAGATGTGTGTCATTTCCTTTCTGAGTCCTTGTCCCTTCCTGGAGGAGGTACTAACATGTCTCAGAATGGACAAAAGAGAAGAGTGGCAGAAAGAGGGTGGAATGCTAGTCACAGGGGACTGGACTAAACCAGCTGAGAAGCATTTATTACCCATTTGTAAGGAAGCTGTATGAAAATCTGTTTTTAAAATAGTTCACACTGTTGATATTTTAAAAAAATAGATTTAATTTTGCCAAAGTTGTTTCTTTCCTAAATGATTTTGAGCACTCATCAGAATAGTAATAAATCTTGTAAAATAACGGAGAGTGTTGAAAATTCAGATTTATCATTCACGATGCCAATAAATATCAGAACAGTAGTACTTACCTCCTTCGCGCTCTTAATTCTGGTCAGAAATGTGTGTAGCTCCATTGTTTCTGCAAATAGTGCACGACATACTGCCTGATAATGATTTGGCGCTTCTGATTCAGTTGGGAGATGAGCAGCACATAACTACAGCAAAGGAAAATAAAATAACAGTGCTTGGTTATTTGGGTTTTTTGGTACCTTAGATACTCTGGTTGGGCGTGGTAGCTCACACCTGTAGTCCTAGCACTATGGGAGGCGGAGGCAGGAGGATTGCTTGAGGTTAGGAGTTCAAGACCAGACAGAGCAAGAGCAAGACCCTGTCTTTACCAAAAATAGAAAAAATTAGTCAGGCATGGTGGTGTGTGCCTGTAGTCGTAGCTACTTGGGAGGCTGAGGTAGGAGGATCACTTGAACCCAGGAGTTTGAGGTTGTTGTGAGTTATGAGGACACCACTGCACCTTCCTTGTGGCAACGGAACAAGACGCTGTCTCAAAACAAACAAACAAACCCACAACCCCCATCCCCCCCCCCCAACACACCTAGTATCCCTGTATTTTCATATCAGACTGCCAGGTACTTCCCATCATCCAAGGCTTAATGCCCCACAAGACCATCATTTAAGTCTACACAATTTTATGGGAAAAGTGGTCCACTAACAGTCACCTAACAGCACAGATAAGCTTACTAGAATTAGTTAGGTTCTATTTGAAAATGATAGGACATATGTAAAAGTTTTAGGGAGCAGAAAGGGAACCACCATTCATTGAGTATTGATCATAATTCAGGTATTTTAACAGCTACCATTTATTGAGCAATTATGCCAGGTACCATATTCCACATGCCATAGAAACATAGTATCATTTACTCTTCAATGTAACCCTGAATTATCCCCATTTTATAGCAAAGGAAACTGAAGCTAAAAGGAATCATCAAGTGACTCCTCTGCACATAGTCACACGGTTATCATGAGGAAGGAGAATTCAGAGTCCTGTTGGGTTCTGAAGCCCAAGGTCATTCCAAAATATGCTGAATTTTGTAATATGGTAAAAAGAATGTCAGGAAACCATGTAGGCCACAGGGAGGCTCCTCGTCAGTAGATGGGGAGTGGAGGAGAGAGGGCAGGGGCAGTAAGTCTACGGGTGCCGCCTGCGCCCTAATGTCCTTCACCGCACACAGCCCATCGTCCCTACAGGACTACTTGCGGGTAAGGTGCAATTCGACATCACGCAAAGCAATTCAGAAAAATCAAACACCATCTAAATTTATTAGACTGGAAAGGCATCCTGTCAAGGGTCCAGCACACAGGAATAATTTTATCCTTCTATAACATAATTTTATATCCATGTACAACAGCAATGTTTTAAAGTACTTCATTTGCACTAAACAGCTGTAAGTTCTACCTTAATTCTTTACTATAGTCAATAAATTTGACATTAACACAATTACTGAAATATATATTTTATA